TGAAGCTAAAAACTAGCTAATTTTATTAATATTTTTTTAGAACGGAATTCGTTCACCATTATTTTTTATAATAAGTTCACATTGGCATTTTATTAATCCTACTAATCCAATTAGGATTAATTCTGGAATATCGTCTTATTCTTTGATCATATATCAACACAAATCATCGGTATTCTTTGGCATTTTCTTCTTCACATTCCTTTTAATAATACTCTAAAGGTTTTCTATCAGATTTAGGTCTGAACTGTTAGAAGGCCAGTCAATAACTTCAGGAAAATTTTTCTGAAGAAATTTTTTGGCATGATTGCTAGTGTATTTCAGATCATTGTCTTGCTGAAAATGCCATTCATCTCTTAACAAGTCTTCAATCTCTGAAAGGTGGCTACGGAGTATATTTACATAAAATTCAGCATTCATTATTTAAAAAAAATAATATAAACTTGTTTTTCCTTTTACACAAAATCCTCTCCATGCAAAAATTTTTGTTCGATCTTTAGGCATAGAGTGTATCGGTTATTGTTCTTTATATCAGCATTCTACAGTATTCTAGAATAGTTGGAATGCAGTCTCATCTGAAAACAAAGTTTTGTTTCAATCATCATTAAGATAATTTGAACCTATTTTACTCGTTTACATTTATAGTCTGCGGTCAGCATCAGCGTTGCTCTTAGAAGGTCTTTTTAGTATCTAATTTCGGCTAAATGCTTTCCTACTGTCCTATAAGACATATCTACACCTTTCAATGACAACCTCGTTGATAGAGTCCTTGTTGAAATAGAAGAATCCTGGCAGATAAATTGGGCTAATGCTCTTAATGTATTAGCTATAATCTTTTTTAAACGATCACTTCCTTCTATACGCTGAATCGCTCAGACTTACGAAGCTTAGTAAAGTTATCGTATACAGTCGTGAAGGAAATTCCAGTATATTGATGGATTTTTCTAGCCTTCTGAATACCCCGATTCCATAATTGTAAGATCACTTGACAGTTAGTTTCTTGTCTAGAGGTCATCGTTTCTAATTAATTGATTTTTAGAGTTTTTTTAAAAAATTGAAGA